ACTTTGGGCCATTCCCCTGTTGCAGTCATAGGTAGCATCTTCCAGTTGTAAGCTTTGCAATAACACTCAAAACTGCTTGTCAGGAACAGCTCGTGTTCCAAAACATACATTTTACTTTAAAAGATAAATCCTTTAGGCTGTGGTAGGCAATTTCTAAATTTTATATATGGGAATGCTGAATTAAATGCTTATGGGATTGACCTAAAGTCAAAACAAAAACTGCGCTGCAACCAGAGTTTGGGAACTCCTTGGCTGTATTTCCATTTCACTTTACTGAACCAAAAAAAGACAGTCATTTTCTGAGAGCAAATGAATTCACAACAAGCCAGACTCAGCAGTTGCTTTTGAGATAAAAGGAAACCTAGTTAGCTGTTTGCCTGGAAGGTCAGGTAAAAAAGCAGATGTATATGAAATAAAAACTTCTGAAACTCTACCATTCTTTGAATCAGGTTATAAGAGCTGCTACTTCAAAGACTTTAACCATAATAAGGCAGACTCTTTTTACCCTTTACGTTTCTGCACAATATCCACTACCTACCCTTTTTCTCACTTTTATCTTGCTCACTGTCAGGGTTATACAACTCATCATCTTGGTCTGGAGCATCAGTCAAAATGTCATCCAGAACATTGAGTTCACCATCTGGGGGGGGAAAAAAAAAAATAAGAAAAGAAAGTAGTTAAAAAACACCCTATAAAAAGTCCGGGTATTTATACTACACTAGAACTGTATTTACAAACCCAAACATTTCCTTTAGGGTTTCAGATCTACCACAAGGCAAAAATTAATGTCTCCTTGATTTACTCCTTCATTTATTTCCACAATTTCAGTTAGAATAATCAAGCAAAGCCAATAAGAGAATTAAAATACGTCACAGGATGCATTTAGGCCTCTGAATAAGGTCCAATTTGGCTCATTATGTCACACAAGCTTTGCAGGAGAGCTGACCTACAAATGAAAGCTTAACAAAAGAGCCTGTACAAAATTTGAAGAAAAAAAAGAGACCAGGAGAGAGTCTGGGTGCCAAAAGCAAAGAGGGACCTCTCTCCTCAATATCCTTAAGGACTTGCACCTTAAATTATCTCCCCTCCTGCCCCACTATTCTTCTTGTCTTTGCTATGTTAGGAGAGTGAGTTTTGTGGTTCACGTCCAAGCAAAATACTGCAACAGGGCAAGTTAACAAGAACATACAACTAATTTACCTTGATCAAAAGGGCAAAAGTTTAAGAAGATAAGCAGAAATAGTTAGAAGCAGTAAACTGCCACACTGGTCACACAAGTTTTGAAATTTATCACTGTTTCTGTTTCACTTTGCCTGAAGCCCTAGGGGATATATGGCAATTCTGGTAGAAGGAGGATTCACCAGCTTTTAAGACAGTAGATCTATATTTCAAGCACTTAAAAAAATAGGAGTGAGTTAAGCCTAAGCATGCAAAGGGAAAAAATAATAAAAAAGGTATTCCTTTTGGAAGCTCTTATTTCTTTTCCTGAAATCTGGAATTCTATGATTGATTCTATTTACTGTGTTTGGGGAAAAGAAAGCAGAGCAAACTCCAAGGACTCAGATAGCTGACAGCATCTGTAGGAGACATACTGTACAACATTATAAAGCAGTAGGTAAGGACTCCTATACTGTAAGGCAGCAAAGTCCTCCAGAGTTTGACAATTTGTTTATCTCAAAACCTTAAGCTGTGTCATAAGAGAAAAAAGATGCAATCCACACCACAAAAAAAAGTGTTACAGTTGTATCTCTACTATATACTACTGAATGTCAAGTCAGCATGTGCGCTAGCTATCTTGCTGGCATCTCTCCACATTTCCTATGGCAGGAGAATGCAGAAGTCGTCCCTGAGCTTCACAGCTGCTGTAGCTGATGCAAAGGGAATGGTGCAGAGAGGTGCATCAGGTCTTTCCCTGGCAGTTTACAATTAGACAGCATTTAAGTATTCCATGAAGCTGCATCATAACTCTTGGAAACAGTCCTTTATGTTTGTAGATACCTGTATATTCACAGCAAATATTCTTGCTGTTACTGAGTCAGATTCATGGCTGTGCAACTGCTAAACATGGGCTGTGATTTCCTGGCTTGCATTCTGCTTCCCTGCAGAAGGCTGGGCAAGCTCAGAGAACAAGATTTTTTTTACTGGATACGAATGAAAAAGAGGTGAGTTAGGCTTAGAATATTAAACATACCAGCAATCTCAGATCACACATATTGAACCTGAGCTTTGTTTCCCTTTTGGTGAGGCAACTGCATTTGACCTAGCTACTGCAGTAGCATTCAGAGGTGCTAAAAGACTCACGTATCAGCTGGCTCAGAAATAAATGAGAAGGAAAATTTAATAGAATAAGCAAGTCTGACATGACATATACTCTCTAACAAATCCCTTCCAGGTTAGGTGGGCCTGATTTATAGTTGGAACCATAATCAAGTATGTAAAAGATGGGAGCAGGATTAGTTCTGCCCCCCATCCCCTTCTGTGGATACTTCCATCCAATTTATTTTAAAATAAACTTCCAGATTTATTTAGCAGCCTGATGATAGAAAAAGGACAATCCGAACACACAATTCCCATCTCTCACTTGCACCAGGTATACTGCTCAACTGACTTCCACGAGGTGATTCCTCTCACTGAACTGCCCCTGTTAGCATTCAACCCAATGAGCTTCATTATCTTAGACAAACAAGAGAAGCATCAGTGAATGCACAAGATAATAAGCAAAGAAATTGGTAGAGGACAGATTTCTTACAGTTATCACTGCTCAAGGGGGAAGGTCTAAATGATTCCTTTTCATTAAAAACATTCGCACTTGGGGTCTCCTACAACTCATCTTGGCTTGGGTGTATTGGATCCTTCCACGAACAAATTTAACTCATCCACAACAACGTTAAAGTAACTTGGGGAGACCACTTCTCCTCTGCTGGCCATGAGCATTAGATCTATTCAAGGAAGGATCCAAGCAAAACTGTAATCTGGCAAACAGAAGAGGTAAGACCAAGCAATTTCAGACTACAAGGGTATGCGAAATTTATTTTTAAGCAGCGATATAGCATTTCTCTTCTAAAAATGACCATAAAAATAATGATGCATTTACAGCACAAATGTGCATTAACACCTGCTATTCAGTCAGAATCATCCCCTTCATAGAACAGAAAAACAAGTTAAAATACAAATCACAAAAACATTTCTTGTCTGCTACTCATGACTTGACCACTCTCAAGTGATTTAGAACAAGAAAATCCAAAAATCAAGCCAACAAAAAAAAAACCCCTCCAAAGAATAAAAGATTCAAGCTCATCTGGATAAATGATTCTATGAGTAGAAATTGATAGGTGACAACAACAAATATTTCAATTTCACTGCTCACCCATGGTGGCAGCTCACATGTTTCAACAGAACCTGATCGCATCCTACCCCACCAGTCTTACAATAATACTGTTAACAGTCAAGCACAACAAATAATTTTACTTAGCAGTTCTAAAAAAAAAAAAAAAAAAGATCTAGTGAGAAATTTCCACGGGATCTAGTTTCACAGTAAGTATTAGAGACAGCAAACCTTCACTACTCTGACAAAGCCATTTTACGGACATCTATCCTGCAAAAACTTTAGATGAAGTATGTTCCGTAGAAAGAAAACAAGCAAATAACACCACCACAGTGATCCTTTACCTTTTTTGTAGCACTGCTATTACCTGCACTATTCACCAAACGGGAATCTTCCACATGTAAACTTTGTGTTTAATTTTTAAATGGGCTATTTTGTGAGGACTGACTCATATAACCTCACAGACCACATATGGATCACTTCAACTTCTGTGCATGGTGACAAGCAGTTATAAAAGTTGCAAACACACGTTACCCTGGAAACGTTTGATTCCTTTAATTCAAACTTATCTATCCACAGTGGCCAGAAAGCGAACTGACTGCAAAAAGCCGAACAAAAATCACAAAAAATATATATATATTCCAACGTCAGCTTCTGCTTGTTAACTTAAGTGCATCCCCCAACAGGAATCCGGCAAAAAATACGGCCAGCGATCTAAGCAGAAGCAAACAAAAAGCAAATACTTCCTACGAGAAGAAACCAGCAGTAACCTGGAAAAAGAAACCAGCAGTAACCTGCTGCCATTAATGTCAAGCTTACAGCCCACGACGTATTCCTACGCCCGTTTCTCAAGTCACCTTGTCCTGGGCCCACTGCAGCCGGGGCACCACATTACAGCACGACGATCCCTCCTACCTCCCCCGGCACCGTAGCGGCGAACAGGGACCGCTTCCACACACGCCACATCTAAACAACACAAGAATCCACCTCGAAAAAGGCCTCCCG